TTTTGTTTGTAATTTCTATAAAATTATAACATTAAAGAGATGGAAAATCAATAGCTAGTAGATTCAATTCAAGAGCCATCATTTATTGACTTATTGGATGAGACATTGTAATTATCACAACCTTCAAGATGACGTAATAGAGATGAAGACCTTGAAGAATGACATGTTCTTCTTTAAATAAATGACAAGATACAATTCATTTAGTTTTATGACTTGGGAATAGACTTTTGATATTTGGTAATTTTATTGGAGGTAGAAACAATTCTTGATGATATTATAAATGTTTTATTTGAAAGAAGTTATTAAGATTTTAACAATGATCAAATAACATGGTAGTCTTCTGATCCTAGAATGGGATATTACCAATAGCTAAGAGGACCTATCAATTTCCTTTAAAGAGAATAAAGATCAAAGTATGTAGCAAATATAATTTGCTGCATTTTAGACTTCCTCAGTATGTGATCATTGCTCCTTGTGGAACTTGTTCTTAGATGGCAGTAATATCATATATATATATATATATATATATATATTGTAATTATTACCTACGTAATATGAGTAAATAAAAATAGATTAGTTTTAAAAAAACTTCCTAGAAGCTTTCTATAAGCTTTTTAAACACTATTTTGACTTTACATATGTTTGTGGTTGATTGATAGGTTAGAAACTTGGTAAATAAGCTAACTTCATGCCACATGTATTGGTAGCTTGCAAAACAAGCTAATTATGTAGTATCTATATAAAAAACTTGCCTTGCAAGTTAAGATACGTATCACGAAAAGTCAACATGTTTTTGGATGTCTTATAGAACGTCGCCACATAGATCCTAAGAAAATAGTATATGTAGAGGTACAAGTAAAGCCTTCTTCATTCTTGTCAATTTGTTTCTTACTTCTAGTTTAGTTTCAAGAGTCTCTAGTTTCCTAATCTCTTGAAAATAGCCATTTTAATTTTTTTTTAATATACATACTTTTCTATTTTTATTTTATTATATTTTTTGAAAGAACTTTATTTAATTATTTGATCTCATTGAGTTTTGTCTTTGATAAAATGACATATCCACCTTGGATTTTTATTTCTATTAAGAATGATGACATTCCTTCTATGAAGTGAAATAAACTCTTGTTAATTGGGATTCTATTTTGATTACAAATATTTTGATTATCTAATAATTTTAATTATTCTTCCTAAATATTTAATTTATGTCCAACAAGTCTAATAACTTTTCAATTATGAGATAAAAAAATTCTTATTTTAGGTGATTTATTCTAGTTCATAACTATTAATTAATATATGAATTGATTATGTAAATTTTCTCTTAGTTCTTTATAAAAGAACTTAAGTTATGTGGCTAATTAAATTCAAACAACCATAAATAATAATATAAATACTTAAACAATTCACCAATACTACAACTAAAAGTAGAAATTTTTACATGATTGTTATTTTAATATTTTTAATATTAATTATTATCTAAATTTAAAACTTAATTTAAAAATAATTTTTTATTTGCAAGTGATTTTTTATCTAAGAATGATTTTTATATAAATAAAAATTCATCTACTTAAAATAAATTTTTATTCATCAAAATTCATCTAATTTGACCTAGCTTGAATTTAGAGGCAATAGATCTCCTTCTACAAAAATCAACACTTATACTATGCCTCGGCTCCAATATGATTGATTCTTAGTTTTTTAAAATCTATACTTCATCAACTTTCTAGAAAAATAATTCTTATCGCTTTATGGCTTGTGAACAATGAGGAAGAGCATTCCAAAATTAAGCTACCAAATTGTAAAGGCAAAACACCATACTTAACTATATCAAAGAACTTTATACAACCTTCAAATTTTAATATTTTTATGTCCAGAAAACTACAACTAAAATTGATATTTCTATCTAAAATTTCAAATGAGAACAATCAATCACTTATAAAATCTATAAAAAAATTCGCATGGCTTTGCCTATTAATAAAAGGAAAAAAGAGAGAAAGGGCTTGGCTGCCCAACCTTTTTATACAAGTGTTTGAAGCTCTAAGAATGGCAGCCAAATCTCTACTATTAAAATTCCATGAATTCAATCAAGTTCTATGGTTTACAAGGCCTCCTAGATCTAAATCCAATTTTAGGGCTAAAAGCCTTAATAACTATTCAATTAATATGTTTTTGATAAAATTAATACCACCATTGTATTCAAAATACATTTTTATTCCAAAATCGCTTCCTTGCTTGTCCAAATACTTGCAAAAATATAATACTTATGTAATTTTAAAGAATTATAATCCAAAGCAAATTGACTATTTAAATGCCAAAAGTTAGTTATCAATTGGTATTATAATTTTTTTAAAGAGCTTCTAAAAGTTGCAAAACCAAATTAAATTTGTTTTTTTTTAAAAGATCGTGGACTTTGAGAGATTATGATTCTAGTAATTTTTAGAGATTCTAGTAATTCTAAGAAGTTGAGAGAATGCTAAAAGTTAATGTTCTCCCTTGAGAATATAAGCTTGAACTTATTCAATAGAAGAAAAAAGAAAACAGAAGGAAGAAAAAAAGAATTAATAGAAATAAATAAAATAACTAAAAACTACAAATTCATACTAATGTAATCCTTCTTCCATGTGAAGGAATTTAATTTTAAGCCTTTAGGACTTACATATTATCTAGATTACTATAATTTTTCAATTTCTTAAATTAATACTAATTTTCCTTCATCTAGAATCCCCTAAACTATCCTTCACCTAATAATTACAATTTGGCATTCTTAATGCATCTTTTTGTTCTAAAACAACCATTGAATCAATTTAATGACTTATACCTTTGGTCATCTCAACCCCTTGATCATGTTCTGTAGTGACTTTTGGTTCTCAAGTCATCAACTATGTCTACCCCCAATTCATGGAATAGCTACAGAATATGGATCTTCCCTCTCTCAATAGCGGCTTTCTCACCTTGCAACCAGTCAAGGATTCATCTTCCAACCAGTCAAGGATTCATCTTCCAACCAGGGTAGGTACTTCTGTAGGCGTATGGGAGCGATCATACTAGAAGCCCTTCCGCATGGCGCGGGCTTAGCCAGGCCTTTCGTCTCACTAACTTGTAATTTAGTCTTTACTATCTTTTACTACCTTTTAACAGTCCGTCTCCCTCAGGCTGCATACAGCTGAGCGGTTGTACCATCTCCCACACGGCAATGGAAGTTATTTTCATTTGTGCCAGGAAAAGAAATAAAAATAAAAAATAAAAAATCTTGGTTCTCTTCTTATCTGCAAGAGATTACTCGGCATCCGTGCTTTGGTCGATCCATCTAGCTTTAATTCAAAATCACCCATATTCCAATCCCCTGCATTCTTCTGCATCATGTGTAGTTCCGCACTCGACGTGGTTTTGCGTCGTTCGCGAGTTCGACTGAGCACAACTTGATCAGTGGCGTCAGTGCAACTGTAGAAGAGGAGCTATTGGGATTTTCGAAGCCAGCAATCCAGGTTTGCAGATTGCTCCAAATCACCGTTCATTTCGCAGCACAACGCCTCGAAGGTCGCCGACACGACAAGTCATGATGGCCTGGTGCATCGACACGCCGCTAAGGTGGATGAATAAAGATGAAATTATTCGGTGGAAATTTGTGACATCTTTTTCATCCTCATGGATTAGGACAATGTTTTGTTGTTGATTCCGACGTGGAACAGTCTTGTGAGTTCATGCGAAGTTAAACGCGGGAAAATTCTCAGACATATATTCTATTTGAGTTATAATGAAAATTACAATCTTAGATCCGATGATAGTTGGATTATTGAATAAACTTAACAACAACAATTACCGTTTTTACAAAATATTTTGTGCAATTTTTGAAGCATATTCTATAAAAGACTTATTGATACATGAATTGTTTTTGAGGTAAATGGAATATAAAATGGAACCATCTTTGAATCTTGATTTAACTTCAAGTGTGCTTCTTGAAGAATCTTAATTATTTTAAACTTAAAACGTTGTTTCAAAATTAAATAATATTTATTAAAAAGAATTTTACATAATATATATATATATATATATATATATATATATTTATATATTTCTCATTACTTCTAATAAATCCTTTGTGTGAAATTTGTGAAATTTTAGGATGTTGAATTAAATCTTGCTCCTAAATAATCTTAAAATTTTAAAATTAGAAAATTAATTTAAAGAAAAATTAATTTCCAAATAATATTTTTACTCAAATTTAAATATTTATAATTTTAATGCTATGTTGCAAGAATCATAAGACCTGTCATGTTTTGAAAATTCTTACTATGTTTTACTCGTTTTGATTTTTTTGATTTAAAACGAAAAGAAAAAAACTAAGCAAACTGGGTGTTTTGGATTTTCTTTATAAAAACTCGTATTTATACTCATCGACCTCCATTATACTAAAGATAAAAGACAATTATTTACGTCATTGAAAAATACATTGACAAAATGTAAGATTTTGTTTTTTTTGGGCTGCCCGCGGGACAGTCAGTTCTTAGCGGTTGCGGTCGCAGGGATGACCGGACAACGAGGTGTCGACTGTCCGAGCCAGTCCCTCTCCATGAGTGCGATATACTCGCCGAGTGTTTTGCTTACCGCGTTGTTCGATCGGGGCTTGGAGTAGGAATGCCGACCAAAGCCCTCACCGAGGTCGGTGATCTCTAGTGTGAACGGTTACGACCATGCTGATTCGATCAGATATTGGTGGCCCCTCAAAATTGTTGCTACTGCTCCTGGCGACGTTGCCTGTGCGGCCCACAACCTTCAATGGCAGCGACGACGACGACAACGTTGACGAAGACGAATTCCAAGGTCCGTGGCATCACATCCTTCGTCCCCCTCTCTCCGCCTTGAACATGGCCGCAGTAGGAACGAGGTACCAGAAACGAGGAAGTTAGCAACGCTAATTTAAGCGCAGCAATCTACGCGCCCATCCAGCTACTTCCGCGATTAGCAATGCAGTAACTCGACATCGAGAGGCGTGCAGGGATGCATTGGAGCCAGAACATACCCTGGTGGATGGGAATCGGGCTGATTTCACACTTGGGGTGGACATCTAGGCGTGATGGAGGGGGGCATGATGGTTCAATCTAAGTAGGGTGCCTCTGATTGACTTTCCGTGAGCAGTCCGATTGCGCGTTCTCGGGCCTGAGATGTGTGTAAATATGCACATCTGGAGCACGGCGAGTTGTACCTGAGAAGATACCCCTGCGAGGAGAGCCTGACCCACCAGGAATCCTCTGGAGGAGCCCACTTGTGCTGTTGAAGAGCCAAAAATGGGTGGAGGATGCTGTGGCGCAATACGATTCACTTCCGCGCAGCATATGAGCGGGCTTCTCGTTAGGAAGGGTGAGCTTTGTTTTTTATTTTTATTTTTCTTTCTTGACTTCGGCCCCCTGACTCGTAGCGCTTGCCAGGCTCATCTTCTCCCCTCAATTCCTTTTCTGCACTTTATCATCGCATCAGGATTTTGGTTTCGCATTTTCGTGGGTTGCTATCTTGTTCGAGGGCTTGTAGGAACTGGTCCGCTCCTTTCGATTGCATGTTCTTATTGTTGTAAATTCGATCACCAGATGAGTCAAGGTGAGCGGCTGGAGTCTTGCTTGCCGTGTGATTCCGGGAACTGAATCTTTTTTGTCTACACAATTGATGCAGTCGATGCGCACTCGTCGTGGATGTTGGATTCGTGCTTCTTGTTAGTGGAACTGCCCATCTGATAGCGTTGAATATAATTACACCCGCCTTTAGAAATCTTGTACAAGGATGCTGCACTTAATGCTGCAGTCGTTTCTCTAGATTTTTTCCCGTTCCTTCTTCTCGTGGGAGTTGTGATTGTTTGTTTGTGATGACGATGCAGGGTCGAGCATGTGGTTCTCAAGATCGAGAAAGATGTTGAAATGAGTGTTCGGCAGTGTATTCAGATACTGTAGGCTGGGATGGAGGCGGCAGAATGTACATCAGAGTTCGTTAAAAGTAGGAGAGTTGGTGAACGGCGGGGAGGAGCATTCGTCTAAGCTTGTATCAAGACATGAGGTACACGCAATGGTGTCCCTGTCATTTTCTTTTCCATCTCAGCTTTTTGATTTTCATGATACTTTCGGACTCAAAGCAAGAATTATGCTGTACCAAGGTGAACGAAACGAGCCATATATGTGGCCTCGATAAGACTGTTTCGTATGTTGTGAAGCGCCAGTTTGAATTACGACGCACCCGCGGACACTTTCAAAGCGGCAGTGCAACTTGCAAAAAATATATGCTCACCACTCTAGCCCAAGCAATTGGACAAAGCAGGGAAGTTGTACAGGCAACTGTGACGTTGTTTCACACATCCTTTTCTGTCGTGCAGGTCGGGTTGGGTCCGCTCAAATTTGGTATTTTACTAGGAGGGCGGAGTGTTCTCATTAATCAAGTCGTGGTGTGAGAGGCGGTGGCGAGTTTCCTGAAATTTAAGTACCCCGAAAGTGGCGATCGACTCATCAATGGAGGAAGGACCAACACTCTTGGAGGCACATAACGTCCGCGCTATTGGAATGGGCGAAGAGGTGGTGGTTCTGGGTCATGGGTTCGGCACGGATCAATCTGTGTGGAAGCACGTCATTCCACACCTTGTCGATGAGTACCGTGTAATCTTGTTTGATAACATGGGGGCTGGGACCACAGACCCCGAGTACTTCAGCTTCTCGAGATATTCAACACTTCACGGATACGCCGACGACCTTTTGTCTATTCTAGAGGAGCTCGAGGTTGAGTCTTGTATTTACGTTGGGCATTCTGTGTCTGGTATGGTTGGTTTTCTCGCATCGCTGGAGAGACCAGAGATTTTTTCGAAGATTATCACCATCTCGGCTTCACCAAGGTACAAAGACTCTCTAAATAGGGAATTTCCGTTTCTTATCAAGGAGTAGTTTATGTAAAGATTTGGTGATGGCTGTGTTGAAGGACGTTGATTAATTTCTGACCTTTCTGGGTGTGGGTCTGTTTAGGTATCTCAATGACATGGATTACTTTGGAGGCTTTGAACAGGATGACCTCAACCAACTGTTTGAAGCGATGCAATCGAATTTTGAGGCATGGGTCTCAGGATTCGCCCCGCTAGCTGTAGGAGCAGACATAGATTCCATGGCAGTTCAAGAGTTCGGACGGACTCTCTTCAACATTCGACCCGACATAGCCTTTAGTGTGGCGAAAACCATCTTCCAAAGTGATTTGCGAATAGTGCTACCAAACGTACTATTCCAACCCCGCTTCTTGTTTAAATAACCCATTGACATTTGCAGTTTGTAACTGATTGAAGCCTGTGAACCCTGATCTTACACTGCTTTCCTGAATTCCTGCAGGTCACCGTCCCTTGCCATATTCTGCAGAGCAGCAAGGACCTGGCAGTGCCCATAGTAGTAGCAGATTATCTCCATCACACTCTTGGAGGCCCTACGATTGTCGAGGTGTTGCAGACTGAGGGTCATTTGCCTCAGCTTAGTTCCCCCGAAATCGTCATCCCCGTGCTGAAACGCCACCTCGCAGGAAGTCTGTAAGCTTGTTGATCAGCATTGATGCATCGCAACTCGTAACCGGCGTGCCAGGAATCAATCTGAGAATTCCGATTCTGTGTGCAGATTAGGCGAATCAGATGTGCTGGTATGGGTAGTCTCTAGGGAGTCCCTCGACTCTATCAAACTTGAAGCTGAGTGTTGAGATCCATCACGTAAGATGTTTGTTAGTAGATTGAGATTTACTATTCATCAACTTACGGGCTCCGCAGATACTCTGCATAGATAGGACCACGGCTGCACATTGCGGATGCTAATTTTTCGTTCTGTGTAATACCCGACGGCACCAAGAACTGCCGACACACTTAGTTTTCGTGGGAGAGATTACTATTAAATTTATCACGAATTCTATACAGCAATGGTAATATATTCAGTAATGAGAACAATACCTAGTACCGTTTTGTTTTATATAAATATTTTGTGTCTGCTCAAAGTTAATCTAAGCTCAATATTGTGATAGAAGGTTTGACTGATTTCCCGAAAGAGTCATTCTCCTCCTTGTCTGCAGTTTTTGGAAAACTTAAGAACCAGATTTCGCAGCAAGGCTTTGAAATGATACAACCAACGTGAGGATAACGCGTGAAACGATCGTCCACTCTGCTGCTGTACTAACTTCTTTTAAAAAAATAGAAAGTATGTGACTGCTTCCTATTGATGTACACCAATCAAACGAATTGAAAATCAGAGGACATCTTGTTCAATTATGATCCGATGGTTACGGTTACTTAATCGCGGAATCAAATGTGCTGTCTGAAGGATATCCGTGTCGTGTCGTGTCGGTGTCGTGGTCCTCAATCCATCATTGGAGCCTCTCCGCCTTCTTCTGATTTCGTTACATTGAACGCAATCAACCTTTCTTCTTCTTCTCCTCCTTCTTCTTCTTCTTCTTCTTCTTCTTTTTTTTTTTTTTTTTTTTTTTTTTACTGCATAAAAAACTACATTGAATGTCGCACATCGACGACGAGTGAGAACTGACAGTTGACGTCCCCCAACCTCGACCTCCTTCCATTGAGCTTCTGGCAGGAAACAGCCGCGGCACTGAACAGACATAAAGCACATCGTAAGTACAACTTGTGCCGAACAGATGAGATCATCCCTGACGGAAACAACACTACATTTCTTGCATGAGACAGCGGACTTGAGGCAGCGGGCTTCACTCTATCCCCGTCACGTCGAGTGTCCATACCCATGTCTTCCACAACACATGGAGAAGCATAGCAGTCAAGCAGCCGGTACAGCAAAATAATCGCAACACCACGGCAAGACTAACAAACACGCACCCGGATGCAAAAGGCCCCGCGGCGTTGCAGCATGAAACCACAAGATCATAGCCATCGTTCCCCAGCGATCGATGACGTCGATCTCATGCAATAAGACGACGTGGACTACTTCTAGCTGGTTCCAGGAGGTCATGGTCGGGGGCATGGCACCAACTTTTGGTCGCGGGTCCAAGTAGCATCAAAACAACGTGACGCAGCACACATGAATGAGACCGAGTATGGTCTGTGTGTGTGTATGAGCTCTTTATCATGGTAGTTCATTGTGTAATGAAATGGAGGTGTCATATGTTTGCTAGTTTGTTTAAAAATTTCTTATTTCCCAATGAGTCGCTGTCAAGGTGGCCACGCCGCTTTTGCATCCCTGTCTAGGTCCCTGTCTCTGTCTCTCTCCCTCTCTCTCCCTGCGTCACCGTCTCTCGGTCTCTGCCTCTGTCTCTCTCTCCCGGCGTCCCCAGTCTGTGTCCGTCTCGGTGTGTGTGTGTCTCCATCTCCCTCGTCCAATTTCAGTGACGACGACGACGACGACCCTGCCCAGTCCATTCTGTTCACGTCACCCTTCGAAGCCATTCAAGTTTTCGAGAAGGTTCCTCTAATGGGAAGGCATGCACACTCAACATGAGCTGTATACTTTTATTAATTTTTTCAAAAAATTATTACACATATATATATATATATATATATATATATATACGTTTTTGATAATTATATGATTCTTTTTGAAACACCAATGTAAAATTTTGTTAATATTTTTAAATTTTAGTTTTTAGTTTTTGGTCTTTTTTTTTTTTTTTTTTTTTTTTCATATGGTATAAAAAATGAATTTTATTTTGATAAAAAATAATAATAAAATTTAATAAGAATAAATTGTGGTGGGAATAGCAATTGTTTTTGGTGGTAAGTGGTAGATGTAAATTGCAGGAGTACAAATTGTGATGGCATTAGCAATACTATATATATATATATATATATAGATATGTGTGTGTGTGTGTGTGTTTGTTAGAATCTAATTTTGATTATGTAACTCTTCTTGAAATTTAATTTAATACTTGCATTATTATTATGCATGGTTTTTTATTTTTGTTTTTATTATAACTATTTATTTGTACTTTGTGTACTAATAATTGATAGTTTTAATAATTATTTTGATCTTTGTTATTTAATAGGTAGAAAAACAATTGATCTTTGAAATTAAATATTATATTGGATAAATCCAAAAGAATTGTATACAAAATTTTTAAAAAAATTATATTTTTTAAACATATATTATTTCTAAAAGAGTATTAAAAGGAATAATATATAATCATAAAAAATAAATCTTAAATCACTTATGATAGTCTAATAATAATATTTTATTTTTCTTTTTAAATTTTTTTTAATAACTTCTATAGATATTTATGGAATTAATTTTTAATTTTTTTTTAATTATATATATGTATATATACTAAAAATAATACTTGAATTTATTAAATATTTAATATTATATATATATATTTTATAAATTTAATATTATAATTAGCTAATGTATATATGTATATATATATGCATATAAATTTATAGATATATTTATGCAAAGAAATAATATAAATATATTTATCAAAACTTCTTTTTAAAGTGTGTATAAGCAATATTTGTTTGTTTATATGTATTTTGATATAAAATATAAAAATAATTATTATCCATATTTACTTTACTTAGACAAGAAATATCTTTTTAATAATACAATAGAACCTCATATAATAGATAGCCATATTTATAAATATATTGACATAAATAATTAGATATAATTTAAATGTTTGATATCTTATTGAAAAGCTTTTTAGAAGTGTGAACTAAAATAAATCTCCACTACTTGGAAGTCTATCCTAGTTCACAATAATTTTGTTGTCTAGAAACTTGTAATAATTCCTTGCTAGTGTTTGATTTATGTCGACCAAGTGTAATAACTCTTCCAATTGTGGACTAGATAAAATCCCTAAGAGGTGGTTTATTCTAGCTCACAACTATTAGTTAATTTATGAAATAATTAAATTAAGTTGTCTCTTCATTCTTATTAAGAACTTAAAATTTTTAATCAATTAAATTCACATCTACACAACCACAATCAATACAAGCCACTTTAACAACTCAAAAGACCGCACACTTGAAAAGAAAATTTTTATATGATTTTTTATGTAATATAATTTTATTTTATTTATTTATTTATTTATCTTATTTATTTATTTTATTTATTTTTAGTATTAATCATCATCCAAATTTAACATTTCATCTACAAAGAAATTCTCACCTACAAATGAGTTTTCATCCACAAATGATTTCTCGTTCACAAATAAAAATTCATCCACCTTCAATCAAAATTTATCTATAAATTTTCATCCAAGCATAATCTAAGTTCATCCAACGACATTCACTTCAAATTTTTCTAGTACAAGTTATTTATGCAATTGTGTATCTCCTTTCACAAAATATGATCCAATATTTTATTGTTGTTTTTTGTTTTTTCACATACTATTTGTTTAAAATTCTCACAGAAATAAATCACCGTTGACGATCGAAGAGCGTTGTAGCAGAGCTACTTCCTACTGCCGATTTGGAACGCAGCAGTTTGCAATCCTTGGCCATCGACTCGCTAAGCGTGAGTGTCTCAAGTGTTCCAGCACATCAACCTTTCTTCAGGCGATGGATAACAGAATGTAAATGTAGGAGAGAAATCTTCGACTACCCTAGGCGTCCGTCCATTGATTCCTCTTACACTTGGGTTCCTGGTACATTGGCCCTCTCGTTAAGCAATGATGGCAGTGCCAAATCTGACTGCTGTTTGGTGCTGGACTTCGGCAGATCTTCCACTGGACTTCCCTTGCTTCTGATTACCGCTGCTTCTCTATTCAGGTTCGCTAGTTTCTACAAAGGCTAGACTATCTAGTTCAACATTAGTTAACTATCTAAAGTGACCCTACCATTTGCACAGCCATTTAGCTAGACTACTTAAGGATCTCAATGCGACATCAATGCATATGGTCTCATGCATTCTTTTGGGCTGAGCACCTGCCGGAGGTAAAACATCAATGCATATGGTCTCATGCATTCTTTTGGGCTGAGCACCTGCCGGAGGTAAAACATCAATGCATATGGTCTCATGCATTCTTTTGGGCTGAGCACCTGCCGGAGGTAAAACGCTACTAAAAAGCTAAGCAGTCACCTACCTATTGGCAGTGTGAGAAACAATTCATGAACTCTGAATTGTGCAGTAGTAAAGGGGATAAGAATGTTGTGTGAGACGAGAACGGAAGGAAGAATATACGACAGCAATGGAATTAGTCAACCATCAAGAAGCTTCAATGTGGAAGTTGAGCACCAGATGGTAAAGATGCTTGATTTGACCACTTCGCTCTACGAGCGCAGCCAAAGCCGTCGCATACACCCTCCAACAGCAAAATAAGAGAAGAAGGGAAAAAATGATCACCGGGATGTTGTCGTCAACAACAACCAGAACATCGCCGAACAGGGGAAGACACCGCTGATCACCAAGAGAAAAACAGGGTGTTGCATTGTAGCACCTCCACGAAACAAAGAAAAAAACTTGCAGCCACACACTCTAGAACTCAAGGCTGCTTCTGCTCATCCTATTGGGAGAATTATTTCGTATAGTACACTAGTCTCTTGTGTAGAATACTTTCTACTCTCCTTGACCTAACACCAAGAGTTGTGACTCTTAGTGTCACTCTTGTACATATAATATATTGTGTAAGATTGATCATATTAATAAATAATAATATTTCCAACATCCTATCAGAGCTATAGAAATATTTGATCCCTATAAAAACTATAAGAATTGATGAATGTTTCAATCTTAAAAATAATTGCTGAAATTACAAATAAGATTGTAATATTAACAATACAATAATCTATTGTAATAGAAAAGGTTGTTGAAGAGCTTGATGTTCTTCAAACCATAAGAAGTACTTCTAAACCTGAAAATGGAAAAAATAAAATCACAAATGAAGATAAAATTGAATTGATCAAGAATAAATTTATAAATAATTTTAATTCAACTTCAAATTAAGAATATTGAAAATGATACAAAAAGTGGACATCAATCATATTCTAAAATTTGATGGTTCATATTTTAATATATGGAAACATAGATTAATATTAGTTTTTAAGATTGAAAAGTTATGGCCT